TTTTCGAAACAATCTGTAGGGGTACTTTTTGTGCGCCTTGGCCTGGCGGAGAATTTTCCTTGAATTGGGACACTGCACCCATACGTGACCGGACTTCGCCCAGAGCAGCGAACACCACAATTAGTTGCTGGCATCCAGTGCTGAATCAAGGACTTTGGCAAGTCTACGGGGCTCCTATGCAGGAACGATACCGCACCACCAATTAGCCTTCGACCTACCGAGCCCCTCAACAACACACACACACCACTCGGACTTAGGTACAGTCACGCTAGGCTAGGTGACTTTAACCCTTGCACAGGATTCTCTACCCTTACCTCAGGATTAGCCTTTGGTATGATCAGGACGACTAGGCCTAGCCAAAAGGCGCGCGTAGGCGCCTACGCGCGCCTTTTATAGCTTTCGCGCTGCTCTGACCACGCCCGCGCACGCGCTCACGTGACCAAGCAGTGACTTCCGCTGCACTATCGCACAACGCACAAAGCGGAGCCTATGCGCCATAACCACAGCTATGCGCGCCTAACGTCTGCCTCTGTTACTGGGCAGAGCGCCATCTATATCTTTGCACCGTGCCTAGTGACTAGCGCCCTCTGTCACGTCACACAGCCCCCTGACAGGTCTAAATGCCCTCATTTAGATTAAGCCGAACAATTTACATGTATTCAAACAACGTGACAGAGTTGAAGAACGTCTGTAAACAATTGTGAACAATCTACATAAACAATATTACAGTTTTGTTTACCTAACAATGTAAACATTAAGGGAAACAGTGCTAGGGTTAGGGTGAGGGTTAGGGTTAGAAGGGGTGTCTCCGTTTGGTGACCCTCAATAACTTTTGACTCCCGTAACCTTTGACCTCAAAACTTTCAGAAACGGTAGCACAACTCTTCATCTACCTTGTGTCGAAGTGTAAGGGTCATAGGTCAAAGGGTCATGGAGTTATAGCTTTTTCCCCGAGGGCACTGTTTTTTTGACCCCTTGAAAAATCACTGAAAATGACTCGCGATCCAGGTTTGGATATATTTTGCATCCGAATCAGGCAACGGGCTATCTTTTGGGAAGAAAAAAATTTCTTATGTTTTCCTTATTTAAAAAAAAAAATTGACCGGACGTGACGTCACAACTTTAGTGTTATACGAGATACGACGATGGAGTTGAGAGAAAGTTGTTTGCCTTGATATACTCTTTCGAATGGTGCCACTTTATATCTTGTGAGGTGTTCCGTTTAGGCTGGGTATAGATCAGAGCCATAGGGTATGTGTATTAATGCATAGGGCCTTAGCGCCAGTTTTTCCAAGTATAAAGTTTGTACACAACTAATAGGGAAGACTTGAATCGGCTATAACTGTTGAACTGCGACTCCAATGCCAACCAAATTTATACAAAAGAAAGAGTGTCTGCTTGTGATCGTCAATATCGACGTATGACGTCTATAGGGAAAAGACCCGTCTATTACTTTCTGCGCTCTGGACGATAGGAATCATACGAAATACAAGACCTGAATATGCAGAGGTGAGAAAAAGGGCACGGATTATCCTCCAGGTGAAAGGGTTAAATAAGCCCCACTTCTTTCCTAGCCACGACCCAATACGTCGACCAAGGGCCTGTTTCTATGGGACCGTGCATGTACAAATAGGCCCCCGGTT